CTCTAATGTCTTGACATTCCATTGTCCTCTCGAGCTGCATAAAATAGTACAGTACAACTTAACCATTTTTTTCTATTTTAGGAGATCCTCAATACTGTCAATACAGGAGCAGAATAGATTTTCTACCTCATTTAATTAAATTTATCTCTGGAGTCAGCTGCATAACACAACAGCTTAAATCCTCTGGAGAAGCCATTCAAAGTGCAAAATATATCCCCATTTACGGTCTCCATAATCTTACAATTAATTAATGATGGACTTCCGGCAGTTGAAAATGTAAAGTGCCTTTACCTTGGTTTTATTTGGATATAAAGCAATTTAAAGACCAACTGAGTGAGAGGCTGATTCAGTTCACTTGGGTCACTGCAGTTTGGAGATGCCACCAACTGCTGCCTTTTTATGAATTTTGTGACAAAGACATTTGAATCTTACAGAGAAGGCAATCCTGACTGGAAATAAATCAAATTTGATTCCCACTGTTGACAAATATTGTTTACCATTAGAAAGTCTGCCGTCATATTTTGAATATCAATGGACAATAAATGGACATTCAAACGCTAATCGTAGCAGCACACTGTATTGGTGGGGAGGAATGTTAAGAGAGAAGAAACAGAGAAAGAAAAAAAGGAAAATTAATAATGTCACCCAATCAAAGTTCTAAACTTGAAAACTAGATACAAAAACAATTTAACATGCTCATATTTTAAAGGAATGTTGTCCCATAACATAAAATTTGGTTGAAAGTAAAGATATAATGCCAGCATTTTGAGTTTTGAATGTTCATCCAAGAAGGACATCAAAGCTTCAGAGTTTTGGCTATCATTCTGATTCAAAATAACCACCAATGAAGGAACTTCATCACAGCTGGGCCAAACATGAGCAAAACCTGGGAAATGAGTGATTGGAAAACACAAGATCATAGCCAGAACAGATTTTGTTACAGCTCTGGTTAAAAATCTATGCACAGTTCTGAATTACTGTTTGTGGACAGGAGCAGATAGATATTGGACATTCTTGTTTACAGACAATAATTCAGAAATGTGAAATAATTAAGCAAATGTGAAACAGCAACATTATTGATTACCTTAAATCATTTTTCCTATAAGAAATATGCATTACCTTACCAAGTTTTGGTAACATTTTAAAATAACATTTATGCTTAAATAATTAATCTGCAAATACATTGCAGTTGACACACAGCTGGAGAAGATTTCCAATTTCTAATTTAATTAAATACTATAATTGTTATTCATTTAACACTCAAATGCCGATTACACCTTAAAAAACAGATATTTCAAAACATAACAGTGCTTTTCATTTATACAGTTTGTCATGTTTAAAAAAATCATGTGTTCTGGAAGTTATTACTGAACTAAATCACTTGATAATTACAACAATTATGATTGTTTCCATTCTTTTACAAAATTACTAAACTTGCCATAATTGAACAATTGTGCATTTAAATATGAAAAATAGGTTTATTAATGTGAGTCTACAGAGTCCATTGTAATGTTCCATACTTAAAAATTAGTCATTTGAAACATTACAGTATCACAGTGTAATGCTGCGAGGGAAATACTGGGCTGCGATTAGCAGTTAAATCTGCAGACCAGGCATGCATACAGCTTTTTCATTATTTTTTCTGGCAGTACGATTCTCGTGGGGTACAAAGCGCACAAAGTAAACACAAAACTACAAAGAACTCAACAAGACTCTGGAGTTGAAGGCCTCAATGATCCCTTCTCAAGGAAAGGCACAATGCTGCTGTTTGATGACAAGCACAGTTAAAACTGACATGCAAGGCAAGCAGTTTGCTCCTCCTGAGAGGAATTACGATTCTGAACTCCTCCACCATCTGGTCTAGTATTTTTTACAGGACTAAGCTACTGAAGCTTATTTATATATTCAATAATAAACCTGTTTTTATTATTATTAATAGTGCCTTCGTGTCAGGAGAACATTTCGAAGTGCTTCACAGGATTCACTGTAAAGCGGACTGACTCTATATTTGTGGGCAAACGTGGCAGCCAATTTGCCCAAAGCAAAGTCCTACAAACAGTTACAGAGTGAATAACTAATTTTATTCAGGGGATTGTTGACCAGGACACTGGTTTGAACTCTATTCTCCTCGAATAGTGCCATGATATCTTTAGCACCCACCTGAATAAGAAGATGGGGCCTCGGTTTAAAATCTCATCCGAAGGATGGCACCTCCAACAATGCAGCACACCCCCAGCATTGCATTGGTGTGTTAGCATAGACTATATGGGTTCCAACTCCCAACATGGGGCTTGAACCCACAACCTTCTGACTTAGTGGTGAGAGATCTACTAACTGAGCCAAGCTAACACATTTATTTGTTTGAGGTGGATGGATTTTTCCAATTTACGATTTGAAATGGTCTGCAATATTTTTTTCAATTGACATTTGACTTATGACTCAGTTGAACAATGATCAATGTTGGATACAGAATAAATCACCTTCAATCAATCTGTGGGGACTGTCTGAAAATTAAACAGCCCTTCTTCATATAAATGCACCAGAGATTATTTCATCCTTCATTTTATGGCTGTTGGTTTGACAGCTGTCCTGCAGATTACCTGCAATGTTAGTTAACAAAGAGCCATCAGAATACAAAACAAGTCAATGTGTCAAATACATTAAGATTTCAATGTAATAAGTCACTAAATCAAATGCAAGGGTATTTTTTGAGTAAAAATAACAACAAATGAGTTTGGAAACTGTAGATGACAATAGTAGGTAGTGACTACTATAGGTGAATTTGGCAGCTCATTTGTGCACAACAATATCCCACAAACAACCATAAAACAAATGACCAATCTTATTTGGGGAGATTGTTGGTTACATTGAGCTTATGCCCTGGTGGTTTGTTTCAAAGTTCTCTGGAAGTCCAGTCATCAAGTGAAATTTAACAGAAGCAAAATCCCATAATTGACCATTAAATTGACTTAGAACATCCATTCTAACCAAAAGAATCATCAATCAAAGCTACGCTCAGCAGATCAAAAAGCAAAGTATTTTTCGTTAATACTGCATGAAGTTACTACAGCTATCTCAAGGCAATCTGTCCAGATTAGATGTCGTATCCCAGATATGAGAGAATTTGCACCAAACATTAATCTTCTTTCTTAAGAGAAAAATACTACTGAGGATCACCTAATATTGCATAGTCTCGTGTTGTTTTAAGTCTCCACCAACAATATCACTCAAAAGCCTCGGTTCCAAAAGTGATTCGTGCTATGGAGTATTGATTCTGCTCATATGGTCCACTGCTACATCCACTGTTGAGTGTGTTAGCTGCAGATCAAAGCTGGCTAACCTGTACAGTACGCTGGAAAAAGTTTTTGCATTAAAGTACTTCTTGTCTGTCAATGCTTCTTTATTGTCCATTCAGAGATATGTTTTACCTGCCTATAAATTTCTGAAAGAATGCAGAGAATAATTTGCCATTTGAACAATCCAAATCCCTGTACAGCTGTTCCCTATCCAAAAGTGAATGCAACCAGCCTGAGAAATGGAAGCAAAAGCTATTACCTGAATCCCGTACACAGCAAATCGTCTACCTTCACTCTATCCCTCCTAGGCAGTTCCAGTTTGGCAATACTCACAGTAAGAATCACACAGAAGCAAATGTAATCAAACGTCTTTGGGAAAAGAGGGGAGGAGAGGAAATTGGGGAGGAAAATAGAAAAAAACTTCATATTCATAAAGCATCAAGACCAGGTGGAATCTATCCAAGACCACTTAACTAAATGATGATGGAGCTATTTTCCTGTCTTTCCTTTACTGAATGATTTCTACAACAGTGAACTACTTTAAGATGTTTCAACGACGTGATAAGGCAGTACATTTAATACAATGATTATATTTTTAAGGAAGGTGGCACATTGCCTTAATAAACAAGGAAAAACTCACAATCTGACTGAATCAATACACAATAGAACACAATTTACATTTATATTACACCTTTCACATCGAGAAGACATCTCAAAGTGCTTCAGAGTACTGGTTGGGCACCGAAGCTGGGGGTGGGAGCTGAGGGGATGGGGAGGGGAAGGATGACTCAAAGCACAGTCAAAGAGGCATGTTTTGAAATGTACCTTGAAAGACAGAAGGAAACAAATTAATAAGTAAGACAAAGAAATGTAACCACTCCAAGAGGTCAGAGATTTTAACAACAAGATAGACCCTTTCATTTAAAGTGAACATCTCAAAGTGATCTAATAATAATACTTGCATTTGATATAGCACATTAGCTTGTCATTGAAATGACTCGATGCACTTCACAGGATTCACTATAAAGTGTAGTGACTATATATTTGTAGGTAAATGGGGCTCCCAATTTGCACACAGCAACATCACACAAACAACTTTAATCCCCTCGCCTTGCCACCTCTTTACCCTTCTTCAAATTACACCTGAATACTTTCCTCTTCGACTGTGCCTAAGGTCACCTCCCCTTTCTCCCCGGCGCAGAGTCAAACTACACCATTGTTCAGTGCTCCAAGACACTTAACACAGCATGTGTTAAGACTTGAAACTGTCAAATTATAGCTAGGTGTTCTTCAGTATAAACAGTTACAGTTTAATATATCGTCACAATAAATGCAGTAGAAGTTTGTCAACTGCCCTTAAATGCACCATGATCAGATGTCATTTGACCTTAAGCTTCTTTTTCTATCTCAGTTACCATTAATTATAATATTATTCTTGGAATAACAACAACTCGGACTTATATAGCACCATCCACGCAGGGCGACGTCTCAGAGCGCTTAAATTATATTTGAATCTAAGGTTATTCAATGGTGATTACTGGCAAAAGATCTCAAATGTGTTATTCATAAAATTCAAGTATTTTCAAGAATAGTGGAAAAGCATACAATATCAGCTGGTATTTGAATCCATCTGTTTTAATATTACATTTAGTTTTAAAATCACTTACTCCACAACACACAACATGAACAGTTTGAAGTCTTTACCTGGAATAATCAAGAAAAGTACTCTTGGAGATTTCTCTGATTTAGATTTCAGATCATCAAGTGATCCAAACTTTAACACCTGGGTAGCAGCTCCACAGCAGTAGAAGAATTCTTCCTCACTCAATCCTTCTCCCTCTGTAACAGGCAATTGCATATCACAGTTAAACAACATAGGAATTGTAATCCCCAAAAACTCGTACTGTAAGTATTTATTTTGAAAGCGGGGAAGGGTTAGTATTTAAGATCAACAGCAACTTGCATTTATACCCCCACGCAGGGTTGCATCACAGAGCGCTTGACAGTGGCGGACCACAACGCCATGCCAGGGTGAGATGACATTAAGCATGGTCCAAGATGAAGGTCTTCAGGCGGGACCTGAAGATGGGGGAGGAGTGGGGCATGGCTGAGGGATTGAATACTCAATACTTTATAGGTAAACTATAACTGTATAAACCCCAAAAGATTGCGGAAAATGTCCAATCATTCTATGGACGTGCAATTTCAAACTGAGGTCAAATAAAGCAGAAAGACATCCAAATTGGACAGCTAGTTGGAGACTGCTAACTCAACAGAAGTGCAAGCCAGATGAAGGATGAGATGAAGAATCATATTGAAATGATTTGAGATATTTTAAAAACAGATTAAAAATGGAAATCACTGACAGCAGTAAGGGCAGCTTTCATCTTTCCATTCAATGGTAACACAACAAACAACAAAATTACATTCGTAAAAAGTGCCTTTAACGTCGGGAGGACATCCCAAGGCGCTGAGGATATCCCAAGGTGTCCTAGCAGTAGAGCAAGGAAAGAAACACCATAATCTCTTTCTTGTAGGATCCCTGGAAATAAATCTTGTGTTGAGCGTTATTGATAACAATCAATATAATAACAATACTTACATTTAATACAGCACCTACAATATCAAACAAGTACTATAATTTAAGGATTGGTGTCAAGTGCAGTATATTGGTACACAAACACAGCTCCCAATTTACACACAATTCCCACAAACAACGATGAATTAAATGATTTGAGAATTGTTTCCCAGGACATAGGAAGAAGATCCTACTCCTTTTCAAATTGAATCACAGGATTCTCCACAACTATCTGAACACTCCGAGACACTACCCCGTGTTAAGGGCGCTATATAAATGCAAGTTTTTGTTGTTATTGAACAGGCAAACTGGACCTTGGTTTAACATCTCATCCAAATGACAACACTTCAAAACAATGTGGTGCTCCCTCAGAACTGCACTAGTGTCAGGTTAGACCTGTGAGCTCAAGGCTCTGATGTAAGGCTTGAACCCACAATGTTCTGACAACAGGGGTGAGAATACTATTAATTGTGTAAAGTAGATCTAAAAATCATTTACAAAGATCAGGTTTGCTTTCAAATCTGATTGTGACTTTTAAATAAAATAAATAATAACATATGCTTTGAGGAGTATTTATAAATTATCTTCTCTCCACCCAAAAATTACTACAGCTAGATCATGCATATGTTCTTAATACATGCAGGCAGAGTCTATTAAAATGTGCCCCAAATCCACTTTATAAGCGGTACACATCTGGCTTCAGGCACTGATTGGTTGATTTTTTGCACATACCATGCAGAAGCAGAAAGCTTCTTCGTGTCTTGCAGCGACTCAACAAATGATGTCAGTATTGCTTTCTGTGCTCTGTACGTACGCACAGTGCATGGGAAGTGCCATCAGCGATTACATGGGGATCCAAAACTGCTGAGCAGTGGCCATTTTTATAATGCATCCTGTTATAACACAGAATTTGAGATTATAGACCCACATCACTGTGTTATAACAGTTTCGCTCCATATGTAAAAAACATAATTTCCTGTTTGTACAGGGATAAAAATTGCTACAAGACCCTCACTTGGAGATGCACCACTGACAAACAATGCGTGCAATAAAACTTCAATGAACCGCAAAAGCAGATCAGTCCAAATTTGTGGTTCAACTGTCTTAAATATTTTTCTCCAAGTTTTACAAAGATCTCCAACAGTGTAATTTTGTCTGTCATGATCCCACAAACTTAAGCAGGGGAACAGGTGTGCAAACACCACAATTGGCTGAAGCATCCCAGGCTAGAGAGAGAGAGAAATAAGCAGTCAAGACGTTCACTTCAGATACTTGCAGTGGCTACTATGCAGAGCTTGGATGAGAAGAGAATCAGGCTCTGCTGTGAGCATAAACACATCAGGTGTGAATCAATTCAACAATAACAACAACAACAACAAGATTGCATTTATTGAGCGCCTTTCACGTCGGGAGGACGTCCCAAGGCGCTGGACAGTTAGATCGAAACCCGAGCAGGGGGGAAATGGTCAGGGGGAGGGAAGGGAGGGAGCGAGGAGGGGGTAGAGTTGAGAGGGGAGCTGAAGGCACAGTTGAAGAGAAAATTCAAACTCCTCTCCTGAATGGTAGCTCGAAGGATCACCCAAGAACTTTCAAGAGATTGATCTTTAATTTTATTAAACATCTTATCCCATGTCTGTGTTCAATTGCATTACAAAATAAACAGTTGGTTTCGGGTTTTGTGCATGCAGCTTTCAACCAACGCGAGAGTAAGCAGTAAGTATAAATCAGGCCTCCTTTTTCACATTGCTTTACTCCAGAACGCAATATCACTTTGCTCTCAGCAATATGAACCTGAACGTAACTGGGGTGAGGCTCATATGTGAACAGAGTATTGCCAGCACACCTGGCACGGTACCTAGCAAGGGTCACCACCTTCGAGGAGAGGAGACAAAGAGAGAAAATTGACAGTGACTGATTTGGATAAAAGTATAATATAAAGCTGATTGAAAAGGCGATTTTACCTCCCCTCCCCCCACCCACAAACACACACCAAAGGAATGACCAAAGGTGCGGTCGAAGACGAGAGTCTTGAGACGGACACTGAAGGAGGTGAGGGAGGGAGCGAGGCAAAGGGAATGTGGGATGGAGTTCCAGAGGGAGAGGGCAGAGAGGCTGAAGGCCCGACTGCTGATAGTGGGGCAGACCTGACAGGGGACTTGGAGCGGGCTGGAGCCCGGTGAGCAGAGGAAGTGGACGGGTTGATATGGAGGAGCAAGGTCATGGAGGGTTTTGAAGGCGAGGAGAGGATTTTGAACTTTATCCTTTGGGGGATGGGGAGCCCGTGGAGCTGGGCAAAGATGGGGGTGATAGGGTCAGGAAGGCTGGAGTGATATCCAGTAAGGACTACATTACCGTTTGTTGGTCATGATACAGTGAGACAAATTAAAAAGGAAATCTACCATTCATATACCACAGAAAGTTCTTCCATAAAACTGCCAGGAACTTCTTCGAAAGAACAGAAAGTTTTAAAGGAGAATGAGATATTTGATTTCAAGAAAATGTATAGAAAAACAAGTCCAAGAATACAGTAAACCTCACATAAGTTGTGTCAGTTGGGACAATATATCGTATCATGTATGACTTATGTAAAGTTATGTAAAAGTCGGATTTTAGATGACTAACACATAACAAGTACAGTACACAAGTACACAAGTACTGTACAGGAAGGTTTGTGTACCATGTTTAACCAATGCATATTAAAGCTACGGTAGTCTATTTTTTCCATATACAGTACTGCAGTGTGTGCCTCATGTGCAGAAAACATGTACTGTACAATGAATGGCACATTCAAATAGGTTTGAAAACAGAACTGTTTTATTAGAATATAAACTCTTACAAAGATTGTTTCACATGGAGCAGGGTGGTCCAACCTTTTGGCTGCTGAGGGCTGGATGCCGTTTGAGAACTCTCTTCTCTTCTCTCTCCCATGCAGCTGATTTTTTTTGTTAGCCCAAGAGAGAGAGAGTCCGCCCAACCGCTGGATCCTGCGGCTGCCCTGAGAGGACGGTTCTCCGGGGAGAGAGGGAGTGTGCGTCCCAAAGTTTTTTTTCTTTCCTCTCTCACTCTTTCCTCTCCCAGCTGCTACTACTGCGCACGATAACAATGATGGTATGACCCTGGAAGGGGGAAGAGTGTAGGGGTGGGTATGTGTGATATTCTGTTGGAGGTAGGGACGTCATGAGTGCTGCGGTTCTTAATATGACTAATGCATTTAAATTTAAGTGGATTTACTAGAAAAATGAACGGAACTTGGGCAGATATATGACTTAGGCGATCATGCAATTTATACAGATCAGACTTAGGTGAGTTTTACTGTATGGCCTTTTTTTCCTGTTCTATAGCAGACAGATAAATAATGAAGCAATAAGGGGCAGTCTAGACTGACATTCCATGCCTGGCATGCATTACATTGTCAGAGGTGCCGTCTCTGGATGGGGCATTAAGGTCCTGCCGAGGTCCAGTCTGACAGGTTAAAGATTCCAAAATAAAAAGACCTTAACAATCACCAAATAAAATTGGTCAGTCACTTCATGGCTGTTTATGGGATATTTCTGTGTAGAAATTGACTGCCATGTTCAACTATACAGTCACAACCCTTTAAAGAGTATATTCTCTGAAGCATTGTGCAATGTGAAAGATGCTATATCAATTGCAAGGATAACTATAACTTGGATCTATATAGCACCTTTTGTTGCAGGGTAATCTCTAAGAGACAGTGTGGAAACCTGAGCAAGTTGAAAAATATAAAGGCGTTGTTCAAAGGCGAGGTAGGTTTTTAGAGATAGACTCCCAGAAAGTTATATATATAAAATAATCCATGCATTCAATATAGAACCTGATTATGTCATCAAGACGTTTCAAAGCACTTCACAAGATTTTATGCAAAGTGTAGTGAATGTGTATTTGACTGTGTATTTGTAGGCAAATGTGGCAGCCATTTTACAAACAGCAACGTCCCACAAACAGCAATGAAGGGAATGTTCAATTTTATCTGGGGGTCCTTTCTCTTTTCAGAAAGTGCCACAGGATTGTTAACATCCACTTGAACAGCCTAGACAATGTAAGTTCAAAGTTCTGATGTGCGCTTTAACCTGACTCAGAGACATCAACATCAGGCTGATATGCCAAGCCAACACCATGAAACCAAAGAGAAGGTTTGAGGCAGAGGGAATTAGGGGCAGGGCACATCAGCTAAAAGCCAACACTTCCTGTTGAATATCTGATTTATTAATATAAATGGGCAGGGATTAACTACTGCAGA